GTTAGACAAATGGTAGTGCCACAAATAGTAACTGACACTACTGCTTGCCTTCACAAGGCACTGACAGAATGCTGGTAAGCTTTTTCTTATGCTAATAGACCCTTCTACACTACATGCTTTATAGTTCTTCACGCTGATAATGGCACATCTATAATCATAGGATTGTCAGATGGCCACGGGGCTAGTAAGGCTAAGGTTAGCACAATGTAACAGCTCAGAAATTCGAAATAAATTAATATTGGGTGGGCTCAATTAAGCTAGCTTCTGGCCATGAGCAGATTGGAGCCACATGAGTACTGGGAACATCTAAACTTTTGTGAAGTCTTTCCCCCCCACCCCCTTGCTTTAAATGTTGTAAACACACCTGTCTCTCAAGAACTTGCCTGCAGAATTCTTTTTGTGTAGACACTTGTCTAGAAAAGTGCTTCTCTCTTCCTTTGGGATGTAAATGCATACAGTTGGTCAGAAACATACTGAACTCTCAATGATTTGTGTGCAAGTTAGGAACCTGTAGCAATTCTAGTTAATTGACAGCGATGTGCTTTGTGCCTTGAACTTGGCTTAGGCAGCCTACAGTTAGGATAGCAATGAGTTAATCCTGATGGAGCAGGTCAGTAAGGGAACCACAAACAGCCCGCTAATTCCAACCTTGAAGGACTCGGTCTTGCAGCCCTATTGCCAAGTCAATATTAAGGTACGTCAGTGTTCTGTTTAAATGAAGGGACTTAACAAATCCTTTTCCCATAACTTTTGTTTTCGAATTCTTCTGTAGATGATAACTCAAAACTCCAGACTGAGGTAAGGAGGTGTTACTCATGCAGTAGTGAAGCTCCAGTTGTAGCCTGGATTACTGGGAAATTTAAGAATAGTAATTGACTCTCTGAAGAGCTGGCTGACTTTTGGTGTTCCCTAGTCTATCTTTATTAAACAAGATGGTAATTAAAGATAATGGCACACTGCAGAATAAATTTACCTTGCCTAACAAAGGCAGTAAGCAGCATGGGGGAGTCTGAAGCCTGGCAAACTGCTGAATATGAAGTAATGGCTCATTAAGTGCCCTGGACAGTGTTCTGGCTGGGTATCTGCTCAGTGCTCTTCTTGGACAGAACTACCAGCAGGCACACAAGGGCTGGCTCTAAGGCAGTAAACCCCCATGTTGGGGTTTTTCTGTGACATAGCTAGCTAAAACTTACTGGCTTGCAATCACTTCTTCTAATAACTTGTTATAGGTATTTAATCACAGTCTTGCTAAATTGCAAAAAGCCTTAAATAAGTGAAAGTGAGAAGACTGTGGCCTGACCTGATGCAGAACATGATCTGGTTCTGCCCCGGCTTAAATGCTGCCCTACCTATAAGACATGACCTTTATTAAGCCTCTCCAGGTAGAATAGTGTGGCTCCAGCACATTTTGTTGGAATACAGCTCTGATAATTTCTTGAAACTGGGAGCCGTGTAACAGCCTGGAAGTGAGATGCAGCAATTGCCTTTTGCAAGTTTTGAAATGTAAGCTTCTAGTTCTGCAGCACAGAGCTTCTTCAGCTGTCATCAGTAGTGGTCTTACCTTCCTTTTTAACCATCCTTAAGGCTACTTGATTTTTACCATCACTAGAAAAACTTAAGTATGCCTGTAGAAATTCTTCAAGGGAGTGTTACCATGGCTGAGTAATCTGACAACTTCTCAATTAATCAGACATGTTTCCTTTAATGGGCCTCTGCCCCTTCCCTGCCATTTAGTAGGACAGAAGATCTAGCTAAAAATTGGTCCTTCGCTTTTGATATTTCTGTGTTCTTTTTCCTTGTACATGGAACAAACTTAAGTGACCTGCCACTGTGATGTTTTGTTCCGTCATTCTCTGATGTAAACAAATTAAATTTGAACAAGGTTAGTGTGCAGTATAACTACTGGAGTTCAGGGAGCTTGGTTTTAGATACTTCAGCCTGGTTTTAATTCCAGAGTTATCCTAAGCATTGTTATGGGACTGTTTTCAGGGACATTTAACACCCAGCCTGCTAGTGCTGCTCTCTAAAGTTGCAAGTTCAGGTGTGTATAGACTGCAAATCAGTAGTTAGGAGACTATTTAAGACTTTAATCATTCAACTTAATTTCCAATATATGAAGTTAAACTTTTATCACTGGCTATTTGCTATGGTTTTATGTTTGGTGAAGGTCTAGATGAGAGTATGTATTGCATTCAAAATAGAACAGCCTGAAGGAATTATTCAAAACAGGCTTTTGTTGCTATGCAAGCTTTTAACTGGGAGAGAATAAACCTTCAGATGTGAATTTGCTGCTTAATATGGTTGTTTCTGTCAACTAGCTGCTAAAGCTGTGTGCGCAGGGGGTGGGATCTTGATTTTTGTGTTGCTGAGGCTGCAAACCATTTCTACCAAAGGTGCTGACTTCACAAATTCCTGAAGTGTTTTAGTCAGGCTTCCCTTAATGCTTTGTTGCTTGCTTGGGACACAAAGAACCCAGTTTCTGCTAGAAACTGATAACCTACAATGGTAGGTTATGGGTAGATAATGCTGCTTGAAAGGTTTGCAGAGAGGTTTTCATGATTTTCAAAAATGTTTACAGCCTTGCAATAAAAAAAATGCTGGCTGACATGTGCTTCCTCTTGTTCCCTATTCTTACCCTTATTTTTAACATCAATGATTATTGCCACATGTGCTGAGGGTCGAGAAACTATTGTTAATAATTCAGAGTAAATATTGCAACACACTTTCCTTACTAAGAGAACCTAAAGATAAAGAGGAAGGACTTAGCTTGGGTGGCTAAATATCCTATTCACGTTAGCAATGTCTCAGACTGAGGTCAGTGTTCTCTGCCCTTTTAATCCAAACGAAGTACAAAATCTCCAGACTCGGTAATAATGTTTTAATGAGATGTGCTCTTCACTTGATAAAAGGGAAAAGAAATCAATAGCTTTAGAAATTAAAATTTTTGTCTGGAATGCATGAATTGTGGAAGATAAGGGAAGTGTTTTCAAGTCTCTGACTAGAGTGCTAACATAATAGTTTGCAAAATTGGCATGTTGATTATTTAAACATTTGCACCCTCTTGGTGTGAGTTACTACAGCCCTCTGTAGAGTATGGACCCAGGAACAAAAGACTTGCTTCAGTCTAGTAGTGAATTCCTAATGCCGGCAAGAGTCTTGGATGTGAATGCTTGAGTATCTGTGCCATGTGCGCAGGACAAATAATCTAAGCCAATTAAGACCCCTCTAAAATGCTTCAAGTCTTAGATTGTGCAAACTGCTGCTTATTTAAACAATAAAGTGTACTACTGCTATAAAAACAGTTTACTTCAGGCTGGCAAGTTAAACTGAAAGTGTGTTGCATGATATATTAGTGAAAACTGCTGAAACTTGGTGATTGCAACAGATAAGTCTTATAAACTGTGGGAAGTATACTGTGATCTCTAGCCTTGTTATTCCAGAAGTTAATTGGAGTTTCTAGGTCAAATTAAAACTAGAGATGTATCTCTTGCTTTATCTGAAACCCAAGATGCGTGCATAGCAACTGTAATTTATATTTCAGAACAAGTATAGTGAATTCTTGAGCTCTAGACATGCTTAACTTCCTAAAAGCAGTAAGTGGACAAGTAGGTACAAATAAGTAGTTTTTCAGGGTTGGGTATGGGGCAAGTTATTTGGTGCATTTTGATTGTGGTGTTTTTGGTTTTTTCTTTGGTTTGTTTTTTTTTTCCATGTGGAGTGCCTGCCAAGGCAGCCTGCCCAACACTATTTTGAGCAGTGCTGTAGTTTTGAGAGTGCTGTAGGATGGAGAAGTTCCATTTTGCACAAATCCATAAGTATTTCCTTAAAATGACAAGGCAGATGAAAGTAGTCGCTTCTATTCTGGGCTGAACTTGTTTCCATTTAAACAGTGTGCTAGCCTTGCTACGTGTCTGTATTCTTGTGACCATTATTATGGACTTGTTAATATAAACCAGTTTTCTGCATCTCTGCAAGAGTTGGTTTTGGAAATGTATAACTTCAGTTTCTTTTTTTGAGTCTAAATCAAGAAATAACCAAATCTGGAATAATTTGTATTTGACATGGAATTTCTTTATACTTTAAATACTTTGCTATTTACCTATCCTGAGGCACTTGTTTCCTTGAGTTACTTAATCACCTTTCATCTGGCCTGGAGTCTGATCACCTTTGGAACGATGGAATGATTTGGTTTGGACAATGCAAGTATTACCTAAATAAGCTTGCATCATCAGGGTTTAGACTGCAGCTTCTTTCTCTGAATATCTAACCTGAATTGGCACTAGAAATCCTAATACCTATTCTTGGAACTAAAAGTCAGTATGAAGTATAGACTGTGGAGAGAAGCCTAAGGTGGTTAAGTCACCTGATAAAATGTGAATTTTAAATATTTTGGGATTTTAAAGTGACTTTCTTGGGGCACGTTGAAAGTCTGAACTTCTGTGTATGCTCTCTGCCTGAGGTAGTTTGACTCTTTGAGCTGCTAGAAAGTTGAGCGCTTTTCCTCTTCAGTGTCTGTTAAGAATGTTTTTAAAGCTGTTGGGCTGAATGACCATTCAACAGAGAAACACTGGCTTGGCTTGCCCTTAATGTGAGGAGTAGCACACACTGTTTATAAGATCATGCTCAAGAGACTCTTCAGAGCGCTGTCAACCTAGTAATCAAACTGGAAGTAAAATTTCATTTTCTCTCACTGGTTGAAGGAACAGAAAAATGGAAGTGTTTGTGAAAGTCAGTAAAAGAGGCATCTCAGATTAGTTGTATGTGGTTGACACTGTCCAAAGTCTGAAAAGCTTCTTGAAGCAGGGACGTCCTTTTGGCTGTAAAGTGATGCTTAAGTCATCTCTGTGATGTTTGCCTTCATCTAGTCCTAATACTGGAAAAGGGAAGTAGTAATTCCTCCTGATTGTACTTTGACACAGCGTGGTTGGGTGGGAAGAAGCTTAGGGTGGCAGCGGGCTCTCCAAAGCACTGTGTCCTCATGTGTGTTCTTTTGATTTCAGGTAAAAGTAAAGAAGCAGAGATAAAGAGAATAAATAAAGAGCTAGCAAACATTCGGTCCAAATTTAAAGGTAAGTGATTTGATAGTACTAAACTATGCTGATTTCCTCCTAGGATGTTCTTCTGTGGTTTGGTTGGTGTTTTTTTTCACATGTTTAGACTTTTTTGTCAACCGCTGATGCAAGCAAAATGCAAGAGTAAGCTATTAGAGTATCTATTGAAAAACATTCTCTTAACTACAGGGCTTCCTGCCAGTCCTGATTCTTGGCCATAACAGAAGAAAACTCCCTCTTATATCAAAGAATTGAGCTTCTGTTCAGATACTTTTTTTTTTTTTCCCCCTAATACTTTGTCTCTTAACCATGTGACTACTCAGCCTGTTTTTTTCCAGAAGTCCATGAATTTGTTTGAAGAAGCATAGGTAGACGTAATTATTTCCAGCAGAAGAGAATCTGTTTAAACTTCTCTTATTTCTCCACCGCCCCTTTAATGATGTAATTTGTTCGTCTGTCTTCTAGCAGAATTCAGATAAAAATGTGTAGTTGATGAAGCCATACATCTTGACCACTCCCGTAAGCAACAGCAAGACAACTTATACGAAACAAAGGCTATGCAGTGACTAATTCAGTCCTTGTGCCTTCCAAGAGGCATCAATTCACTTTTAAACAACACGTGGTAAAACTCCTGCTGTAGCTGTGTTGAAGTTGTGTACGCGGCTTCAAATTTTAGGTTCTGTGAGGGGTACTAGAGATGCTTTTGAGTAGAGCGCTCCCAGTAGTGACTGTGGCAAACAATCTGCGTACACAGATACAGGGCTACATACGTAGCTAGATAAGGTGAGGAGGTGATGCGTGTGGCTTCAGAATGTGCTGTATTTGGATTAAACCTGGTTACCTTAGTTATCTGAACTCTTCAGTTGGCAGTGAAGACCTGCCTAGAAACTTCAAATGTATAAAATAATTAAAGTTATTGAAGCTTCTGGATACCCTCACTACCTCCTGTGTGTTCCAGTGTGCTTGAGGCATGAAGGAGATTCTGGCAGGCCTGTTCACTTGGGCAGTAAAGTTAAACACGTAAAGGAACGCAATAAGGAATTATAGAAAACTTCATAATGGTTATCTCAGTTTAAGTACTGACTAGCAGGGATATAGACCAGTTATTGCTGTTTGGCTATCTTCAAGTTCTGTTAATTAATCCTCCTTAGATATGGGCAACTAGTATCTCACTTGGTGCTTATTCCCCCAACTCCTCATGTTTGCACCCAATGTGAAAAGCTTTAATCTGCAAGCTGAAATGGAGAAGCTAGGCTCAAACCTCTATTCTCTCTGAAAGTTAACCATTCAGGAGGAAAAGATGGCTTGCATGTTTTGAATAACACAATTAAACTCCCTTTGGATCCATCTGCATCTGCTAACTATACATCTGTAAGCTTGTGAGCATGAAAGAAATGAGTCTATGAATGTATATTCAGAAGGTTGCTAATATCTGTAATAAAAGGTTGCCTAATGCATGATAGAGCTAGTCTTCACTCTTCTCTGAATGTCTTTATGAAAGCAGCAATATAAGCTGCGGTACTACTAACTTTAAGAAAACTTGGCAGTCATGAAGCTCTAAGTGAACTGAATTCTGTCAGTATAGCGTTCTCCAGTTAACACTGGTAGCTGTGTTTTATCACCAAGTGGTCATGGGTTAGAGCTGTTGATGGCAAAGTTGATAAAAAACCAGTTCTGTTCCTCAATTTTGCAAGACTTAAGTACAAAAATAAAAGTGTGCACAGTGAATTCTTCTCTGGTTAGTTGTGATGCAGGGGAGAAGTGGTCATAGGAACCTTTGGCTGTGTAGAACCATGAATCAGGCAATGATCAGAGAATAGAGGTGCCAAGTAGTGCACTAACTTTAGCTTGTGTAGCATCCTTTAAGCATAGTTTAAATAGTTTTGAATTAATATAAGCGTGTGTGTGTGTGTGTGTTCATTAGCTTTAGTCAAAGATGACTAAACCTTCCCGTAAGCTGATCTTCGTTTTGGCTACTTGGTTACTGAATTTGCGTGGATTTTTAGGTGAAAAATGTTAACTGAAGACAATAACTTGATGTAGCCTGAGTGAAAAACTGGACATAAATGTCACAATTTGGAAGAAGTTGAGTTTGGATAACTTGCTGTGTAACTGCTTTGGGGCCTTGAAAGTGTGAGGAGGCGATAGCAATTTATCTTTCTGCTGCAGAAGGTCTGCGTGGGCTTTGTGCTGCGTTGTCCTGCATTGCAGAAGGACTATATAAAAGTAAACAGACCTTCATAATGCCTTTTGTTCTTGGTTTAAGTGGAGATTGTTCAGTTTAACCAAATTCCTTTTTATGTAGCCTTGGCTTTTAAAAATATTTTTAAATAGTTTGGATTGAAACAAATGCGTGCCCATCAACTTAAGATGGAGTCCCTTGCTAAATAATTGAGTAATATTGGTGCCCTGGGACCTGACTGAAGATGGAGCTGTGGATGGCTGCATTGCTGTAACTGGGAAAAAACCTGACTCTAAGAAGCAAGGCTGGCAGTAGTGCCTCTTGACATAGGTGTCTTCTTGTTTGAGACTGGCATGAGAGACTGATAACACCACAAGTATCCTTTCCGTCCTCCGTGTAACTTGCATGATGTATTCTTACACTGTTACAGACAGGGGTAAGGTATTTCTGCCCCTGTTCTGTCTCGCAGGTAGCTGGCAAGCCTGCTTTATGTTTGGATAACCTGCTCTTTAAAATACCCTTGTACTTAACAGGCTGGGGTGACGCTGTGCATCTCTGGAAAAACTATCCTTTTTGTGAACTGATGGAATGTGTGCTGTGGCTTGGGGTTCTCATCTGGCTTGTGTTTTCCAAGCTCGGAAGGAATCTAGAATCTCTGTACTTAATGTGACTTTGTCTCTTGTTTCAGCATGAGGAAGCTCTGTTGCCGCGGTCAGGATGTCCTTGACAGTTGCTTTAAATGCGTCTGCATTAACTGAGATAAGATATGTGTAGTAGAGAGAAACTACCAGTGTAATAAAGCAGAAGTTGTAGGAATTGTGTGAAGTGCAGAAATACTGGGGTTTTGTTTTACATGTTCAGACTTTAAGCGGAACATGTAAATGAGTGGAAAAAAGATAACTGGTTTATTAATTTGTTGCACTAGTTTGATGTCTCGGAGCAGAAACTGTGTACTAATGAAACTGCAGCAAATCAACTCTGTCTGGATGCTCAGGAGACCAGACTGGTAAGGCTTCCTTACCCACTGTCCCCAGTGAATATCCCACAGGACTAAACTCCCTTCCTGTCCCCTCTGGCTGGTAGCAGGCTGTCACTGTGTGGCAGGCTGGTTTTTGAGCATACTGAATTAGATGCAAAAGCAGGTGCTGTCCTGTTTTTTAATTCGTAGTCCAATGTAGGGACAGAAGGTGCTGCCTGCAAACTAAAAGGGTCTCCTAATGCATTATTTGTGCCTTATTTCTCCCCTTTTGGAAGACTGTGTGAAGGACATCTGTGAGCAACAAGAAACAAAATTTCCCTGTTGAAATGGTAGAGAGGTGATGCACAGAATGCAAAAGTGGTAATTCTTTTTTAATAATAGTACAATTTACTAATCAGCTGCTAATAATTTTTCTTAGAAAAAAAAAATGACTAAAACTTTCCAGGGAAAGCAAGTAGCCTTTGAAATGCCCACTGTGCTTAAAACCTGCTGACGTGTGTTCTGAATCCTTCCTGTTTCTGCTGACTTGATTTGCAGTACTTGCAAATGTTCCCGCAAGCATTTAAAAATGAGCTGAGTTGAAAGAAATGATTGTGTATTGCAATAGAAACAACAGAACATGTGAAATTTCCTTCTGTTCTTGTTCAGATGTTTGTTTGAGGCCAGGGAAGCTGTAGTATTTTAGCACTTACTTAAGCAATGAGACTTGTAAGTAATGTTTAAAAGAGAACTTTATGGGATTTTGTAAATGCTACATTGGAGGGAGAAGACTTGAATAGTTAAACTTGGAAATTTCAGTAAGCATCTGAATCAAAGACGGCTGGGGTTAGACAACTACAGTAAGACCTTTGCAATACTCTTCTTTCAAATTACTCAACTAATTAAATAATATTTTTTAAAGAAAAAAGATGATTATGTTCTATTGTTGCTAGGAACTAAATAAGACTTTAAAGAGTCCTAGGTCATTACTTGGCATAGTTTATCAGCTTGCCTGTCGTTGAGAACCTTCACATTGTCCTCAGTTCTTCATACAAGGGACGGACTCTTTTGAAAGCAGTCAGTAGACTATTGGTACTGATTTTGCAATAATATTCTTTTGTAGGACATGATAGAGAAGAAAGCTGATTTTTCCTTGTTAGTAAGATGTGATGTTTTCACCTTGGTTGCAGGTCATAGCTTCCATCAAAAATACTTCACATAACCCAAAACTCAAGGACCTTGCTCATCTGAGCTCTTAAAATACTGGTATCTTGGATATAACTCTTTAAATAGCTGGGTCCAAAAACCTGAAGGAAAAAAAAACAACAATTCTCAAACAATGACAAATACTTTGTTGTGAAAATCACTGTGGTTTGGAGTCGCACATACTTTCATCCACTTAAGTTCTTCTTTAGGCAGTTGGGGTGCAATATTTTATACTCCCTCTTCCCTTCTGATCTTACCAAGTCAACACCAGAGTCATTTGAGAACCTGGGAGAATAGAGTTCATGCTTGCAGCTTCTGTGTGTCCCAGCTGGATTGTGTGCTAACAGGCAGCTGAAGTTCAGTCTCTTGGACTCCTGGGAACTCCAGTCTGGGAGACTGGTTGGGATTTTTTCATTTATGGTAGCATTCACATGTCACCTACTTTCTGACGCCTTTCTGTGCATGAGCAACTAATTACATTAGTACTATTAAATACCATAGCAAGTCCTCAATTAGACCTCGGAGATTAGAAGAACAGTGACTAAAATGGACTTAGTTGTCCTCTTTACTGAATCGTAGTAGTAGCTGGTAGCAGTGTCCAGCCTCGCTTGTTCCTGTTGTCAGTCACTTGGAAACAGTCGGCTCATCATGAGTTGGTGTGTCCTTGCTGTAAGTAACACAAAGTCCCTCTAGTTTATTCACCGATTATTTCTTTTCCTTCCAGATCTCGTGCAGAAGACCAATTCACAATCAAATCCCAAGAGCTTGTAGAAACTTTCTTTAAGCAGCTGAAATACTTTTAAAACTAAAGCTGTTACTCTGCATTTTACTGTATCTTCATTTTCTTTGCCCCTCTGAAAGGAAGAAGGTGTCTTTTCATCTACATCTCCCTGCTATGATGGGAGGAAGGTTCTGTTCTTGAATACCATTTTACTGGGAAAATAGTATAGCAGGAGGTATTTATTCCACTGCTATAAATACAGAAAACTTTTATTCCTTTGCTGCTCAAGCCATGGTTTAAAAGCCACTGCAGATAGAGACAGGTATGGCTTGAATATCTGCTTTTCCTTCTGGCCATAGTGCATCCATAGAAGGAAAAAAAACCCAAACGAACATTCTCCCTCCCCTAGTCTGGATGTTTCTCTCTGCTTCTTCTAATGTTAATTCAGATGTCTAGTAAAGCAGACTGCCCTCAGTTT